ACGCACATTTGTTGGATAGATGAGCAAGGAAAACAGACAAATGCACCTCCCCCTGCATTCCCTGGGCTCCAGAGAACAGCCGGTTAACATCAGGACCACGGAGGATGGGAGGGGTGAGGGGTGGGGGGGCGCGTGGGGGGATGAGAGAGTTAAGGCCTTGGACACCCTGACCCCGGTCTTTGATGTTCCTCTCCAGTGGGTCTCCCCGGCACCCTGCCTCCACCCCCCCTCCCTGGCTCCAAGGCCCTGCCCGCCCCGAAGCCTTCAGTCAGTGCCAGCACGGGGCTGGGGAGACTCCTCCATCTGGAGAGCTGCGGGTAGGTGTTCAGCTCCACCCGGGCACACTTCACCCCACGTGCCTTCTCCACTGGCCACAAGCGTGGCTCTCTGAGTGAGGGACCCCCCTCTACTTCCTGAACCCCGAGCCACGATCTGGGGTCTCTCTCCTACACACTGTTCCCAAGCTACTGCCTGGACCTCCCAAGCGGCCCATCCGCCCTCTGTCCTGGGCCCCGCTGCCTCTGGCCAGGACTCTGCCCCAGCCTCCTACCTGGTCTCTGGTCTCCCTCCCACCGTCCCCTGCACACTGACCTAGCACACATCAATCACAAAGCTAGGTCCTTCCGTCAGCGGCAACTCGATGCCCTCAGGCAGAAGGCAGAACCTAACAAGGTTATACCTCATTAACCAGGAACAACCTTGACCTCAGCTTCCTCCCCTCCTGTGGAGGGGGTGGCAAGCTCTGGCCACCGGAGAGGTCACGCTCCCTTGGCCTCCCGAGCTCACACCCAGACGCCCTATCGTTCCCTCCTTGCAAGCGCTGCCTCCTCTGCCCGACGGCTGCTCTTCCTTTGGGTCGCCTCCTGCCACCAGCCTCTGATGGCCTCTGGAGACCAGACATGCCTGTCGCGTGCGCTTCTCTGTACCACTTAACAGTCGGGAACACCCGGCCAGCGTCCCTTCCTCCATTAGACCACGGGCTCTGGAGAGCGAGCCTGTGTGCCGTCTTCACTAGCGTTTGCTGGCGCCGGCCCAGCACCCCGCATGCGCCGGGCGCTACTCGGGACCAGGGCCTCCATCTCCTGCCCCACGCCAGGCGGGAGTCTCCCGTCCCAGCCTACTGGCCAGCTGGAGGACGCGGCCCCCCCGCTGCAGGACTCAGCTCCCCTCACCCCTCGCCAGACCCCAGCTCCACGTCTAGACCAGCTCCCTGCACTCGTCTCTCTACCCTCCATCTCCCACCCTGAGCCACGCACGTCGCTGCGGAAGCAGGCGCCGAACCACATCAGAGGGCAGGACGGTGACACGTAAAACACATTAAAACCGCGTTCCCACCAGGAAAGCCGAACCCAAACCGTACAGCCCTTGCTCAGAGACGCCGAGAGGGACACGTCTGTTCCAGACCTCCTGCGCGTCCCCTCTGGGCCTCTCCGCCTGAAAAGACGAGCACTCCCAGGACCTTTCCATCAGACGAGACACACCAGGGCCCTCCCCTACCAGGATAGATCCTGACTGAGGCCAAGAGTTTCCGAAAGTTCAGAGCAGCCTCTTAGCGGCATAGGGCACTCACACCCACAGACACGCAAAGGTATGTGAGCCAAGGCTCATCAAGGCAAAGAAATCAGCTTGTGTCGGTTGGCTGGCTAGAAAATTCTTAAGTTTCTGCCCCACGCTAGAAACAATCCAAATCTCCTTCAGTTGATAACTAGACAAATTTAAGACCATCCATTACAACGGACTCGTACTCACCAACAAACAGCAACGAACTACCCTCAACAACTATTCTCAACAGATGCACTATGCCTGGTGAAAAAAAGCAGATTCAAGAGGTTATGGACACACGTACGTGTGTTTAAAAGATCTTTACTGGATACGCCTATTCAGAGAACATTCTTGAAAACACAAACTATAGAGACAGAAAACAGAGCAGTGATGCCAAAGGCTGGAAAATGGAGGAGCACTGAGTCTACAGGGGCAGGGTTCTGGGGGCAATGGAAGACTGAATTTCCTCAATCTACATTTTGGGATGGCTACATGACTCTGTGTTTGTCAGAACTCATAGAACTTTACACTAAATGGGAGGAATTTTACTGGATACAAACTATACCTTGCCAAACCTGACTATAAAAAAACAGAGCGTGTGAGGAAGGACTTCAGGGTAAAGAACCAAAACGTGAGCAACTTACTCCCGAATGGTTCAAGGAGGGAAAAAAAAAAAAAAAAACAAACAAACGCGCACACACATATATAAAATAAAACAGGAGCAAACGGGGCAGAATGTTCCTAATAGACAAATCTGGGTGGAGGAGCAAGCATGCTTCCAAACGTGGAACGGATGGCTGGGAACACATGTGTCTAGATGGACAGAAAGGTGTCTGCGAAGTGGGAAAATAGAGCTGAAGGAAGGAAGGAAAGAAAAAGAGCACAGGCATTTCAGGGGAGGCTGGCCAAGGCCCAGGCATGACTGGCACCACGGTGTGGACCCAGGGGCCGCCCAGAACCTCCAGGTCCCAACCCTGGCCAACGAGCTGCAGCTGTCTGGGCAAGAAGGAGTGGCCGATGCCTTCATCTGGGCTAACCGGGTCCTTAAAATTCATCTTGAGTTTTACTTTCTGACTACCCAAATTTGACTCTGGTATGGTTTTCCCACCATCTTTTTTTTAAAGTTTATTTATTTTGAGAGAGAGAGGAGGAGAAAGAACGAATGGGGGAGAGAGGGAGAGAGTGAATCCCAAGCAGGCTCTGCAGTGTCAGCACAGAGCTCAAAGTGGGGCTCGAGCCCACGACCCGTTGAGATCGTGGCCTGAGGGTGAAATCAAGAGTTGGAAGCTCCACCGACAGAGCCACCCAGGTGTCCGTCAACACTCATTTTTAACCCACTGAGACTTAGTTTTTAGATTGGGGAGGATACCGATGCTTTCAAAACGTTTGTAACGGGGAGCTGAAATGTACCATCTTGGTTTGCTTTGGGTTTTTACTAGGGCGTTTAGAGCTTGGCTGTGCAGGGCGATGGTCACTGGCCACATGTGGCTACTGAGGCTTGAAATGCAGCTGGTGCAAACGGAGAGGGGCTCTAAGTAGAAGATAAGCGCCAGATTCCAAAGACACGATAGCAACAAGAACGATAATGCAAAACGTCTTACGTTTTTCGTTATCACTTGCTGAAACGGTATTCTGAACACAGACATACCAAATTAAATAAGACAAACTGCCTGAAATTAACTTTTCTAGGTTTCCTTCTACTTCAACGTAGCTTCCAGAAAATGTGAAAGGACACCGGTGGCTCGGTTGTGTTCCTACTTGGACAGCACTGGTTTAGAGCACCAGCTCTGAACCTCCAGCAGGGGGCAGGCCTCGGCAAGTCACTGTTCAGTTCTTCCTGTGAGAGGAAGCCACTGCTTACCCTGCTCCCTACCCTGTCAGAGAAACAGACTCTAGACAAGCTGCTCATTACAAAACCCTATCCCTAGGATTCTAGATTTCCCAGAGGGCCTGGTAGGGGAGAGTTCTTGCCACGGCACTGCCCGTGAGCACTGGGGTGCTTCCCTGCTCTGCTCGTGCAGTCCTCACCCTTGACCCCTCAGGCAGACCTGGACCCCACCAGAAACAGGGCGGTACTGACGGACTCCAGAAGCTGCCTCATGTGCTACTCAGACTCGATCCTTTCCATTCTCAAAAAACCGGCCAAAGCTCTCAGACCTGCCGTGAACTAGAAGGCACGAGAGCCTTCATCTGCAAGGACCTGTGTTCTCCCTCACCCGTTCCCTTAGTGCATTAGGAAGCCCAAGACGGGCCCCCCAGAGTCCTCATGACTCATCGGGCAGAACAACAGATACTAGGATGAGTCTCAAACATCGCCTGGCTGGGGAGGAAGGCCTGGCACAGCATGGGAGAAGCCGCTCTCTCCCGAGAACCTCCAATTACCCTGCACTTTGTCGGCTGCGTAACGGAATCCTTAAGTCTTAGGAGGAAGCATCTGACGTTTCCATCAAAATACAACCCACCCAAGTTTCACTCTCCTCCTCGTGCATCACGGGCTCTCTCTAAAAGATGGCTAAGCAACGCAAGATGTGTTTGCAAGCAACGTTCCTTTCACACCGCTGCCCCCCCCCCCCCCC